CAATAAGAGTTAAAAAATTGTGTTGTTATGTAAGTATATCTAATACAAACACTACAGGTTACGACTTCAGAAAATTAAATCAACATGTATGTAAGTGGTACGGGTTACTTTTAAAGTGCGTGACCTTTGACATATCAACGTCTGAGAAAGAGCCGGAAGTAGTAGTAATACCGGACGACATTTGTTCTGAGCTGAGCTATTCGAAATAAACTTAGAGAATGAAAGCGACCGGATGAAATATATATTTTTTAATCAATGTTATTTCTTATTCACCACTGATGTGGCTTGCTTTCGACATTAAATATTAAGATAACTTCATCATTTAAGTAGACGCACATTTACTTCATTGCTTGGAGACGGCTTGAATGTGTAATGAAGAAAAACTTTTATACAAGTTTAACATAACAGCAAATGTACAGCGTTTCGACAAAGTTTTGTCATCATCAGGTAAAACTCGCGATAAAGTAAGAATTTGCTAGCTGTGGTCACTAGGTGCTGGCGTTGCAAGCGCTCAGTCCTGTTTTCGCTACGTACTTTTTAAGAGTCCCTTCTCAAAGTGGCTTTTAAGGCAGATTTTACATTTTTTGACAATCAAACATTATAAAAGTGTGTACACTGAATTTCATCTTCACTTTCATACCACCAAGAAAAAAAAAGTTTGGGAGTCGTGAACATTTTGAAATTTTCTGGAAAACTTCATGTCGCTATAGAATTAAAAGCTGGTTAATGAAACTTAGCAGATCTGTTTTAAAGATGCATAATGTTCAGGATAAAGCAAATTCTACTTTCATGTAACAAAGTACTGTATTGGTCCGATTATAAGGCGATTTGTTTTAGTTTGTAAAATTTATAGTCGCCTTATAATCGTGGCCGACCATAGGCCCTTTCCCTCTACTCTCGCCTGTCGCATTCCAGAATGTCCAGATAGCATCGGTCTACGCATGTACTCCAGATGTTTGCTTAAGGCCATCGCTAATTTTTGCAACTAATCCACCTGCAAGCTGTTCAGTTATAATGTTGATTTTACGAACCTAAAAAAAAAGGACGTTATGACACTTTTTATTCTCTCCCATGGTTTTTGAAAATGGGGGTCGTCTTATATTCGAGATCGCCGTATAATCGGGTCATTGCGGTATATGTTCGTAAACGTGATGACTTCGAGCCACAACAAGTAAACAGTTGGGTCATAATATTTTGTGTTCATACTACTTTTTCACGTCACATTGACTTGTCTATATATACTAACGGAATGGAGTCTCAGTATTTAAGTACTTTATTCAGCTGCCGCTCGGGGCCATAAAGTAAAAAGTGAAGTGTAGTCATGTGGTTAGACATTTTGTACCCGACAACCGTACGTGTACTGTAGTCATGTGATTAGACATTCTTAGCCAGAACTGTAAATATATATATATATATATATATACAACTTATTCGTTTCTTCTGTTACAGTGTTATCAGAAAATACTGGAAGTTGATCCCCGAAACGTCCAGGGCCTACACAACTTGTGTGTGGTTTATCTCCACAGGGGTCATTTGAAACAGGCAGAACAGTGTTTTCTTCAAGCTACGAATCTGGCTCCAAACGCCGAATACATTAGACATCATCTTCAATTGGTCCGCTCTCAGATTTTAAAACAAAATCTACCTATAGGTGTCACTCGGAAAGACTTTCATCAACTGAAGTATTCTGGATCTGTAAGATGATTCTCTGGTGTCGGTGACGTGAGATATAAAAACAGACCAAGTGCTTAAATTATATTTCGTGTACTAATAAAAAGCTCCTATTTGTTTTTTCTTTCTTCGCCGAGAGAACGCTCGTGATACGTAACCACGACAACTGTAAACTGAATATTATGAACATAAAACATTACAAGACTTGGTATTGAAACTGAGTTGTGTTTTTTTTAAAAAAAAAGATCGAATGAGTTGAGAGTGTTCAGAACATACACGTAAACTTTAACACAAACTGAATTAGACTAAACCTTTACGGCTTCCTTTTTTTTTCCAGATGAGCAGCTGGACGACGCTTGTCATCGTCATTATATATCGTCAAAGATGTCTGTTAAGTCGCATTTCATCAAAAACAAAAAATATATGATCGGAAGAAAGTGGCGTTTTATAACTAGAAGCGTTTTCAACTTATAGTTCCTGTAATGAGCATAGTTAAAAAAAAGGAAATATATAAAAACGATATGATTGGGTTGACCCCAACAAATCATGTTTAGGAAGTAAGGTCAGGCCTCAACTACCCCAACAAATCATGTTAGGAAGTAAGGTCAGGCCTCAACTACCCCAACAAATCATGTTTAGGAAGTAATGTCAGGCCTCAACTACCCCAACAAATCATGTTTACGAAGTAAGGTCGGGCCTCAACTACCCCAACAAATCATGTTTAGGAAGTAAGGTCAGGCCTCAGCTACTCCAACAAACCTGCTATTATATATTTATCATGTTTATGAAGTAAGGTCAGGCCTCAGCTACTCCAACAAACCTGTTATTATGTATTTATCATGTTTATGAAGTAGGGTCAGGCCTCAGCTACTCCAACAAACCTGCTATTATCTATTTATCATGTTTAGGAAGTAAAGTTAGGCCTCTGTTCGCTATCATGTTTCATGTGACTGAAATGAATTTTAAAATATAAAAATAAAACCAACAACTGCTTGTTTTTACGTCAATTCTAAAGGTATTGTTGGTGTGGAATCGAATTTACGTCATGTAAATAAAAATTTAAACTTTTAAATTACTCCATTTGTATTACTACGTGCAACTGAATTTCATAGTTCGACGGTATGGGTCGAAATATCATAAACACCATCAGGTAGCAGGATTATCCCTCCCCCATCCAAGTCACTATTCAACTGTTTGTCAAGTTCGACATAGAAAGTTAGGGGCAAATATGTCGCGTGGCTTATCTTACAGTCACGTGCTAATCGGTACTGGCTTTTAACAACAATAATCTCACTTCTGATTGTAAGTAAGTTAAAAAAAAAAAACCTTCTCACTTCTGCTCCTGAGATGTATTGAACGACCTAATAAATATTTGCTTCTTCTTTCCTGTTTGTTCAAATCAAACTGTACTTTGAGTTTGTTTCTAGAAATATATATATATATATATGTACATATATCGTTTAAAATAAATTATTCATATTATCTATTCACCAAGATGTACTAAGCCTCGTTATTCTTGATTTTTGATCGTCTGCACATAAATAGATCTGAAAAACTAAATCTTACGCACTTATAATACCTAGTATATTTATTTTCAAGATTGATAGTCAAATCCCACTATTTGATTCGTATATTCCGGGATTTAGCTGCTTTCCCTTTAGTCTATCATTTGAAAATTAGGAACGTTTTACGCATATAATTCTTGTGTGGCTTTGCGCAATCCTAGTGGTAAAAAGTGTAAACTCAAAACGTTTGGCAAATATAAATATGATAAAAGAAAATTTAGCTTTTTTGTTTCATCTTTTTTTTAGAATTAGAAAGATAACACTAAATATTAAATAATTTTTAATTGGTTTAATGTTAATGTGTAAAAGATAACACTAAATATTCAATAAATTTTAATTGGTTTAATGTTATTAAAACAAACGATAACAATTACGTAGGAGCTCTTATTCTCTCGGGAAAATTATTTTTTCTTATTTTTAGCTAGATTAATTAAAACCGTGTTGGCTAAACCTAAAAGAAAAGTCTTGAATAGTTTGAAAATTTTAATTTCTTATTGAACAACTATCGTGTATTAATGTTTAGTATATCAATTTAGTCCTAACCAAATTATATATATATGAATCTCTTAAAATTTCTTATCAAATTAGACATACAATATCTGATATCCATAAAAAAAGATTTGTTTCCTTCATTTAGGTCAAAAATGTATAGTTACTAATCTTTCGAAAAATAATGAGATATATTCAAATAATTAATTTTAATCGATTCCTTTTTAAATCTACAACAGTCACTTCAAAAGTTTTTGTGCTGGGCTGTATGCAGCTCGGAAAGTCCAAGGTTCGCGCTGTGATGCCACTAAAAACGTTACATACTTTCAGCTCTAGGTGTATCTGATTATAAGAGTGACAGTCAATTCAGTTGTTTGCTTCATGGCCGATCAAAGCTCTGTTATAGGCGGATAGTCTTTCCTATGGTCAGTAGTTCGAAATTAGGGTAAGCCAAAACAGATTCCTAGGGGTCTGTTATTGGGTCATTTAACCACGTGGGTTTAAGTGCTACTCAGGTTGAAAATAACAATAAGTACTCAATAAATAAAAAATATGTTAATTATTTTCACCCATTTGTTCATTCTAAGTAAGAACAATTTGACCCTTATTGCAAGGGTGGCTTGAGCTAGATGCGGGCTTCTGCAAATTTCGGAATGCAGGGCTGAAAATAGCGAAATCAAAGTGCAATGCTAGGGTCATAACTAACATATCAAGCACCATTTTGATCTGATAAACTAAACCTTAAATAAAAATAAAATTTCTCCTAATATGTAATGTTTCAAAATTCGATATATCTTTTAAAGGACTTAACACAAAAACATGGTGAAAATTATAATAAATCAACAACACTAATTAACATGTTTTCGGGTGTTTTTTGTTTCTCTGATTCTGTTGGTGCTCTTTCACGTGTAATGGGGACTTGTGATAAGTTACAGATTGGGTAAACATTTATAGTACTTTGTGTAAAAGTTACAGATTGGGTAAACGTTTATAGCACTGTGTAAAAGTTACAGATTGAGTAAACGTTTATAGTACTTTGTGTAAAAGTTACAGATTGGGTAAACGTTTATAGTACTTTGTATAAAAGTTACAGATTGGGTAAACGTTTATAGTACTTTGTTTAAAAGTTACAGATTGGGTAAACGTTTATAGTACTTTGTGTAAAAGTTACAGATTGGGTAAACGTTTATAGTACTTTGTGTAAAAGTTACAGATTGGGTAAACGTTTATAGTACTTTGTGTGTACTTGAGTTTAACTAGTTTATTATTAACATTTAATTCGTTACACAATAGCCATGGTAACGGTAAGTAATAGCGTAGAATAAAAATGGGCAAGAATAAATCATGAAAAAAATGTATTGTTCAAACGCGGGTCTCACCAAGCGCGCGCCTAACTACTGAACACGAAGAAATATTATTTTTTTTTTTATGCTGCGTGTTATAATCACACGAATAAAATCAATGTCGACAAGTTAATATTCTGTATATCTTATTCCTTCCACACTGATTGAACGGTCATCAAGTAATTCAGTTCCTTAATGTTGATGACACACGTTAAAAGATTGTTAATAGCTTGCTCACATGCGATCATAAAATCTGTTCTGCTCTAAAAAAATGTTCTTCGTCTCTCACCTAGTCCGGGCCTAATATTTTATCTAACAAACTGTAACACGTTATTACTGCAACATCAAGTTTTATAGGTTCTTGCTTAGGGAAAATAAGAGTGAAAATCGTGTGTAATTTTCAGTCATTAAAAGGTTTAAAAAGCACATTGCGACCTTCTTCGTGGAACCGGCCATATAATTCTTGAACAGACGATATTTGACGAAACTCCGTGGCTACAGAATTGATAAAAACGAAGACAATTAATTGTACGTTTCGTGTGTGTTTAGTTATAGCGAAGCCACATCGGGCTATCTGCTGTGTCCACCGAGGGGAATCGAACCCCTGATCCTAGGAGAATCCGAAGTCTTACCGCTGTTCCACCGGGAGACTTGCACGTTTCACAAATATTTCATTTATTAGCCCCCCCCCTCTCTTTTCTCTGGATCGGGATTTAGGTCGTTTTTACGACCTGGGAGGGTCAGGTTCAGGTAGACCTCTCCCTCCCTTCTGTACAGTTGTTATCGTTTTTCTTAGGTTCAGGTTTTTTGGTTGGCTGGTTTGATATGGGGTTGATGATTTCTGTTAGTACTTTCCTTTTCAGGGCCATGTCCGTTTTATGTTGTCAAGTTGTATGTGTGTGTGTTGCCCTATTCTTTGGTGTTTGTGTACTTTGGGTCTATAGTACAAGTAGTAAGTGTGATAATAATGGTAGTTAGTCGTCACTTATTAGCCCTCGTGCTAATTATTCTGTTTGGTTTCAATTTCGCGCAAAGCTACAGGAGGGTTATCTGCGCTAGCCGTCCCTAATCATTTAGCAGTGTAAGGCAGGCAACTAGTCATCACCACCCACCGCCAACTCTTGGGCTATTCTTTTACCAACTAATAGTGGGATTGACCGTCACATTATAACGCCCCCACTGCTGAAAGGGCGAGCATGTTTGGGGGGACGGGGATTCGAACCCGCGACCCTCAGATTGCGAGTCAAGCGCCACCTAACCACCTGGCCATGCCAACTGTTCACAGACGCTGTCTATAATTTTGTAGTTTCCAAGTGAGCTGGACACGATAATAATGCCAACTGGTCAGTTTAAGGACTCTGACCTTCCACCTAATGTATTAGGAACGGCAATATATCGACAGCTTTGTACAAGATGCTGTAGGAAAATAAACAACACACAAAAAAAACGAACAAAATCGTTTACCTACTATCTCATTTAATGTTAGTTCGGAAAACAAAAAATTTTCAAAACTGGGTTCATTAGCTAATTGGCGTCACGTGACAGGCTTTATCAGAACAACGAGCGTTTCACGTAAAAATAAATGGCTTGGAACCAAACCTAACACGAGCACAATCTATAACTGATTTTATCATCACCCATATTAAAAAAAAAAAACACCCTTAATATACTGGCATAATTATATTACGTGGCTTCGTTTGCGAGAGCACGAGCCTGGTAATGTTTCTTTCTTTTTGAGTGTCAACTGTCTCGTCGTTACGTTAATTTATGAAATAGCTAGATGGGCTAAATTTGCCAAAAATTAGTGGCAAAAGAAGATAATAATAATAAAGATTGAAATTGGTTTACAAATATTATTCTATATATTGAAATACAGAAAATGTGCATTAAGCCTAATTGCCCCTATTTTTCAATAAATTGATTAACTGCACGTGACCAGTTATGACGTCATGTTATGCTTCGCTTTCTAATTACCTTCGTCCATGATAATAGAGTTGGGCGTGGCTTGCACTGTAGGAGTTTCTATGTTTTATTGTAAGTCCACTAAACAACAAATGTACAATCCTTCAGTGGAATAGCGTGGAGTTATAACATTAAAATCCGGGGGTCG